GGGCGGGGTGGGGCTGGCCGGACAAGAAGTGAAAGCCCTCCTGCGCGACCCGTCGCCCCGCCCGTCTCGCCCCGTCTCGAGGATGTTATGACAGCCACGCCAGGTACCCCGCCTGCCCGTCGAGAGTCGAGGCCAAGGAGGCTATCATGGCGCTTGGGTTTGGCGCGCCAGGTACGCCTGAATGAAGGGCCAGGACAGATAGGCGGGGCGAGGCGGGGCGAGGCGGGGCGGCGCGACCAGCCGACGCGACGGTGACAGGCGGCTGGAGTCTGGGCCTCCCGCCTGGAGCCGGAGCCGGGGCTGGAGCCGGCTGGACGGAGACAGACTACTTAGAGCTGGCTGGAAGGTAATGGACTTGTGGCACCACGGCCGGGACAGGTGAGGTGGAAAAGGGGCCCGGGGGAGGAGGGGGAGGGGGAGTAAAGGATCGTACTACGTACAAACACTGCGTGACTTTTGGGGTTGGCTTGTGTTTGTAGCCTCCCCAGCACAGCCCTATATGGCATTGTGCTCGGTTGTCTTTTCAGGGGTGACATGATTTTGTCTCTATAAAAGCAACACAAAAGGGAATGGCTCGTCTCAGTCTTATATTTATAACAGATCAAACTGCATATCGTGTGTCAGGTCTACAAAATTAGCAGTTTTGTGGATTTGCGCAACCTAGGGACCACGGCTCCTTTTCGATAGAGCGAGTAAGCAAACCCGTATACTCCTGTGTCGTGTGTCGTGCCCTCACATACTGTTAGTGGACTGGAAGACTCATATGAAATTAACTTCAACTTCAAATAGTCTTAACACGACTGCGTGCGAACTGCAGCGAACTGAAGCCTGAAGCCACCCGCTAATAGGGTCACTCTCCCCCGGAAATTTTCCCATCTGAGTAAGGGCGCCTTGCTAGTAGGCAACCCGCCCGCACGCGTGCGTGCGGTACAGTCCGGCTGGATAAGTTGGGCGTTGGGCGTGGCGTGCCCAGCCACAGACAGCCATCTTACGGTGTGTGCATGCATTACATACACCTTGTTCTAGATCCCAGGAAGCCTATCCAGTGCTCCAGAGCTGCTGTTCAGAGCGAGGATGCACCAGTCCGGCGCAACAGGCTGAGCTCTGGACAGAGAGGCCTTTGTTGTTGGGCCGGCTGGGCCCGGGCCGGCTGCTGCTCAGCCTAGCCAAAGCTTACTCGGTATAATCCGCGGCCAGGGGAAACGCCTAAACACCAGGGCAGCTGCAGCACAGTGGTCCCCCCCCCCCCCGCCAAACAGACACACACTCACACACACACACACACACACATCCACGGCCAGCACAGCGTCACTCCACACACAACATCCTCGCCGCGGAAGATACCCGTCCCCGTCGGTTTGTGTACCCACCCGTCGAAACCTTGGCTAACCCAGCACGGCCAGCGCACGGTGCTGAAGTGACGAGCGGAGCTGCTGCTGGTGCCGCCTGCGTCACTGCCGGGGCGGCAGGAGCCGCTCAAGGACCTCCTTCGCCTTCTGCCGCTCGTTTTCGGCGACCCAGAGAGGTGCAGAACCGGTGCTACTGGTCGGGCGGGGATCATAGAGTTGCTCCGGACGGGTACGGAACGTGCGTGGCTCGAGTGAACGGTGTGGGTGTTTGAGAAGCACAGTATGACAGCAGCAGGCGCACCAGCGGCGAGCACGGAGACCTAGTTTCGTCCGCAACACATGCGCATTACACATTCGCACACTCACCTGGCAAAGTCGGACGAGAATCCCCATGCGAGTGCAGTGCCGGGTAGACGTTGAGACGAAAGGTCGCGCTCGCCTGGTGCGTGTCGCAGTGTCGGTTGTCGGTGTGCTCACTCGCAGAGCGCGGCAGAGCGCTCCGTCGCGAGCGTCATGTCTTCTTTCTCTTTCTTGTTTTTACCGCGACTGGCACGTCACTTTACATCCTCCGCGGGGGCCGCTGTCCTCCGCCGTCCCGGTGGTGGCCGCTGACTGCTGCTGCTGGTCGAGGTGATGTCCCTCCGGTGCGCCGTGTTCTCGGCAGCGGCGCGCGCGCGCGGGCGCGTGTGACGACGGACGCGTGCGTGTGTGTCACGTGACGAGGAGCGGCGTGACGTACGTGACGTGCTCGCTCGGCGACTGCTCAACCTCTACTGACTGGGGACTGGGACTGGGACTGGGCTGTGGGCTGGGAGGGAGGTGAGGGAACGGAACGGAACGGAGCGGGAGGAGGCACCGCTGGAGGGGGAGGGGAGGGGGTGTAGTCGCGGTTAGCCCCAGCGGTGGCGTGGCGGGGCGTGGCGCCGCCCCCTGTCTGCCAATGTC